TCAATAAATCAACATGGGGTCTGCAATGGATAGAACTTTGAACAAATAAAATCATTAATAAGGAATACAACCTACATATGGATCATATATGAACAATATGAAGTTTGGAACATTCATGGCCATTCCCCATAAGCATATATTACAAGATTAAGAGTGCAACAATATGCTTGCGACTCAAAACAAAAAACCTTAATGAGATATTAAGCGATCATCACTTCAATTGAAATGTAGATGTTAATAAGTAAACTCACTATGCAAGACATAACTCATTTTCACATGGCATCAAAGGACTTGTAATATTGAATGTGGCTTTTCTACTAGTAATAAACAATAAGGATTGAAGGGAATATGATGACTTGCTTGCAAGAAATAATGAGAAGCAAAAATGATAGCAATAAATGTTCATAAAAAGGACATGAGGGCAAGTACACTATCAATGTTACCTGATTATGAAACAAATGCACAGAATCTCCACGAGCCATATTGATCAATATGTAATGAACATGTAACCTTATTACATAAGATGTCCATGGAAAGAACATGACGAGCACATATATTGAATGCAATGACATCTTTACAATTAGTACCAATATATAACTAAGCAGGTGAAATCCAATCAAGCCATCCAACAAAGTCTCTTGTCAGTAGGCTCAATACAACATGTAGTGACCACAAGGATGCTTCTATAGTAAAAAACAATTCAATTTTAAGTGAATATATTAATTGCTTGTAAGCCATGATTAACACATCTAACATACCATATGCGTTAAATGCAAGCTCCTATGAACCATTAAAGAAAGTTTGTCATGCATACAACATACTATCTATGATTAAATACATTCAGGTGAAGATACTATAATCTACTCGTTGATGCATAAGGAATGTATCAACTTGTCAATCGAGGAGGAATAATGAAACTAAGGCAATATAGAGCATTTAAGTCAAATCAACAAACAGAGCAGGTGATACTCACATTAATCATGCAAGTGAATACATTTGTCCCATACCGGTGGAGGATTTGGTATGCAAACAAACAAGAAAGGATTATATATCTCACACATGAGCAATAACCAGTGGATTCATACATGAATTAATTGCAAGCAAATATCAACAAGCGACATGAGTGAAGGTATGCAATGCAACATGTAATGAATGTAAATATCTATCGATGATTTATCTATAAGCAAAAATTAAGAACTAATTGTCTGCATAGTAATTCACACAAAGGCAGTGACGACCTACATCAATTAAATATTCAACAAATGCACAAGTTCCCTACAAATATGATTGAAAGAGTTATTATGAATACAACACATTGCCTACGAGTAGAAGGAGAGTTTTGTAGTCCAAATACCACAGTTCATCAGAAGTTTATCTATATATAATAGTGAAATACACGCAGGCTAATATAACAACTCATTATCCGATATCCATGAAGTGATTGGTGATTCACTTAGCTCAATTGACGTTCAATAGCAACATGTAAACATCATGAATATGTTTGCAAATAAAGTACAAAGATACAAAATGAATATATGACGTCCTTACAATCAATGTCAAGTAATTTGCAAATATGTATATCGGACCCTGATATACACCCAATATGCTATTTATAAGTAAAATGCAGAGGATCTATGGTAAATGCAAACACTAGTAGATGGCATAGGAAAAAATACATTCAATACAATTCACCCACAAGTAATAATAGGAAGCATAGAGGAGGAAATCACAACAAATGCAGGACTACAACAAGTGCAAATACCTACTAGTTGTTGTAAGAGACCCATCGCATACACATGTGTAACAATGATAATCAATAGCTAAATAATAGTGCTACGACACATTTGTAGTCAATAATCAATCAATGATTAGAAAATACATTGATTCACTACAAGAAGAGATGGAATATATGCATCAAATGTAAGCATCTACGAGCTGCCATAAAAATCCCATTATTCTTCCAATGTATGGTCCACAAGTAAAATACAAAATAACTACGACAAATAGTACTATCTATATTACATAGCAAGAGATTCGTTAGTACACTAAAATCCACTTATAGAAAGTAATAAATAGTGCACGATAGTCTACCTATACGAAACGGGTAAATGACTATAATACGACACCATGCCATCGGATCTGTAACATATGTACAAGCGAACATAAGATGTTTATAAATATCCCAAAATGCCTCCGCATATGCACTATAATATGTAAACACATAGGTACAAAGAAGGGCAAGTGTAATTATACACTCTTTTGGGCCCCGATGAATGTGTTAGGGGTACACACGTGGCATTTAGAGATGCTGCATGAGACAATAAATGAGCGTGAATTGGGCCCAATCCTTCAATATAGAAAGATAGGAGTCGATACAACTAAAACTATCAAATAGATATATGGTCAAGGTGTCGACCAGAAGATCAATTTTATACATTCATATAAGACTTTCAAGACCTATGAAAAAAGAAATTCATTAATAAAACCACGAAGCTGGTGAAGAACCCGATCCTCTACTGACAAGTTGACAGATTTTCCCATAAACACCCTGATAATGGACGTATTGACAGAAAATCTCAATCCGAGGGGTTCCCATATGTTTTCAAATACCTTTAAGCTTCCAAATAACCCTGTAATCACCCTAATGATGGTCGTGTTGAAAGAAAATCTCAATCGTAGGGGTTCCCATATATTTTGAAATACCTTCAAACTTCTAAATGATCCCGTAAACACCTCGATATTGGCCATGTTGACAGAAAATCTCAATCAAAGGGTTTTACTCCAAATATTTTAAGTGTCATCCATATACCCATAAACTCCTAAAAAATTTTAATTTCAAATATTTAAAATTGAAATAATTCATCCAAACACTTAAAGAAAAATTCATCCACACTCCGCAATATGTTGCCTAGGTTGACAAATCTAAATATAACTTCAACTCACAAATAGTTAATGTCTAGTCGAGAATATCACTAGGATTCATTCTCAAACAGTCTTCTACCAGTGGGGATGTGGCATGTGTCCTCCAACCCTCAGTTTTACTTCCAGATGGAACTGCAGGATAAATGATTTTGACCGAGGCTCTCTGAAATAGGTGGTTTGCCGCCAAATAACACTACTAAATTATGGTTATGGCCAGAGCCCGTATGCTCCACAATGGCACTAAATCCTGGAAATATAAATCAATATGATATAATCGATAGGTCATAAAGCCCTCTATTAGCTAAGGTAGATTTAAATTTGTCTACACTTAGACAAGCACTCCTAGGTCTACAAGATCCCCTTGGTTGAAGCAACCCATGGCTGCTGACAATGATCTTTTACTCAGGTTGGGTTGAGCACCTCCTCTGACTAAGTAGACTAGGGACCGCGATGGCTCGGGATGACGAAACTATGGGATCTTGATCGGGTCCATCTTCCATTCCCCCTCCATCCGCTTTAAGTGCAAGACTGTGCAATTTCTAATTTTAAATATCAAATCTACAAAATCTCCAATTCCCAAGCTCATGTTGCAACTATATATCATATAAAACGTATCTCTATGTATCTGATTGACAACTAGCCTTAATCGAAAGTTCTCTTTCATTATCAGGAGAGATAATTAACTATAAGGGCTTGTGCCTATAGGAAACCAGAACTTAGATCATAAAGTCCTAGTAAAATGAGGGCGAAATCTCTGGGTAGTGTCTTATCTACAAACCCATATACCTTACCAAAATTTACCCAGGAACTTAATCTATTAAAACTTCCCCGAAAAGCAGCAAGAGAGGTCGAGGACGAATTTTCGAATCCCACAATTTTAAAGTACGATGGACTCTATTAATACCTCTTCCACTCCTTCCCCAACATGCAAAAAATTAATTACATCATTTCTCCCTAACATTGCTGAGAATAATTTCTCTTTACACCCACAACTTTCTCCTTGATAGGGCTCTTTTTCTACTAATTCAAATGTGCGAGGAATCATGTGAGAGAAGGGGTCATTACCCCAATTTGTGTGATTCATAACCCTATGGTTCTAAGTTTTTTTTTTAAATAACTTTAGTGTCATTAGAATTAATGAGATCTGACGATTAATTTGATTTTAAATCTATAAATTTTGACATTTGACTTATCCCGATATTAATTTTCATTATTTTGATTTGAAGTTAATAATCCATCAACCATTATAAGATTCATAATAATACAAATGATATTATTTTTTGATAGATAAAGTTGTTAATTAATGATCAGAACCCCAATTGGCAATTAAATTGACTCCTCTAAAATTAAGGAAATTAAAATTTTGAATAAATTTTCAAAATTTTTGGGCATTGCATGATAATTTATCCTTAAAAACAATCGGAAGTTTATTGGGCGCCAAGAATATTGGGTTTTCTAGGCCCACTTCCCCAGGCGACATAACCTCAGTCTGCACGATGTAGCCAATTCTGTAGCTTTGACCACATGGATTGACGATTTCGACCCTCGTGCGCAGCTTCCATACACGCTAGTCAAAAGGCTACACCAAAACACCAAGAAATAAAAAAATCAAGTAATTTCAAATGGCGGTTAAGCTCCCGCACTCCCTCCGCCTCTTCAGGCAACGGTGGTTTAAAGACCGAATTGAGTTCGAGAATGGCCATTTCCAATTTGGGGTGCAAGGGTTCTCTTTCAATTTAGAGTTTTAGGGTAATTCTTATATTCAATTTCTATTTTTCAAAAAAATTTTTATCTCTTATGTTCGGAAATCAGAGCACTTGCAATTGTTTAGGGTTTTGGTTTTTCATCAAGTAGCAAGCCCTAATCCAGATGCATTGCGTGATACTATGCTTTGCCTTCAAATTTTTTACATTGTGACAGGATTGGCAATCCTCGCCCATATTTCTAGTAGGGGTTCTTTGCGATTCTATTAAAGTTGATTGTTTTCTACTTTTAGACATGAATTTCAAAGGAAGTTTTCAAGTTTGATGTGCCTTAGCATCTACAATATCAACTGCTCATAATTGTTTTACTTTCAGTTGTTGAAGAAGATGCATAAAGCTCTCTCACCGGAAGAGTGCTCTTTAAAGGAGACTTCTCGCCATCTTGGCTTTGGCGGCAGGGAAAGGCTCACCCCCAAGTATGACCTCGTAGAGCAGATGCTGTTCATCTATGTTAGAGCAGTGAGGGCCAAAGACCTCCCATGTAATGATGGTAATGAGAACTGCAACTATTATGTTGAAGCCAAGGTCGGAAACTTTAGACGAATCACAAGGCACCTCAACGATAAGGCAAGTCTGGAATGGAATCAGGTATTTACTTTTCCAAAGGATCTCAATCATGCATCTATTCTTGAGGTCGCAGTTAAGAATAAGGATTGCATAAAGGACGAAACTGCGGGTGTAGTTCTGTTTGATCTTAACGAGATACCCGATCGTGTTCCACATGATAGCCCTTTGGCTCCTCAATGGTACAAATTGGAAGATCGACATGGAAATAATGTAGGAGAGGTAATGCTTGCTGTTTGGATTGGAACTCAAGCTGATGAGGCATTTCCTGAAGCTTGGCACTTTGATATTGCATCAATTTCTGACGGTGGCTTGGTTAATCTAAGATCTAAGGTTTATGTCTCTCCCAAGCTTTGGTATGTCAGGGTCAACGTAATTGAAGTACTAGACTTGCAGCCTAGTGATAATACCCGATTTCCAGAAGTATTTGTTAAAGTTGTTTTGGGAAACCAGGCATTGAGAACGAAGATATCCCAGAACCGAGCCATGAATCATATGTGGAATGAAGATTTGATGTTTGTAGCTGCAGAACCATTTGAAGATCAAGTTGTTATCACTGTCGAAGATAAAGTTGGACCCAATAACGACGTGTTAATGGGAAAGGTCGCTATTTCGCTTCAGAATGTGGAGAAAAGGCTGGACTGTAAGACGATGAAATCCAAATGGTACGATCTCGAGAAGATTGAAGCGAGCGATCACAGCCAAAAGAAGAAGAAAAAGAAGGAATTAAATCTTTCTACTCGGATTCATCTGAGAATTTGTTTGGATGGTGGATATCACGTCTTGGATGAGTCAACTAATTACAGCAGTGATCTAAGGCCAACTGCAAAACAACTATGGGAACCAAGTATTGGCGTATTAGAATTGGGTATTTTGGGTGCGCAGGGGTTGACTCCAATGATGACAAAGGATGGGGAAGGAACCACTAATGCTTACTGTGTTGCAAAGTACGGCCAGAAATGGATTCGAACCAGGACAGTAGTTGATAGTTTTACACCAAAATGGAACGAGCAATACACTTGGGAGGTTTTTGAACCTTGTACTGTAATCACAATAGGTGTGTTTAACAATTGTCAATTGCAGGGTGGAGAAAAGATGGCCATCACCAGCGACAGCGTGATTGGAAAGATTAGGATTCGGCTTTCGGCGCTTGAAAGCGATAAGGTGTATATCCATTCGTATCCTCTTATTGTCTTGAACAGAAGTGGGCTGAAAAAGATGGGGGAGCTCCAGTTAGCTCTTCGGTTCACATGCTTATCATTGTTAAGTATGCTGAACATTTATTTGCAACCACTCTTGCCTAAGATGCACTACCTTCATCCTTTATCAGTTGCTCAACTTAATATGTTGAGGCATCATTCAATGCAGATTGTTTCAATGAGGTTGGGCCGGGCTGAGCCACCATTGAGAAGAGAGGTGGTGGAGTACATGCTGGATGTTGGTTCTCACATGTGGAGCATGAGGAGGAGCAAAGTTAATTTCTTCAGGATCATTGGTTCTCTGAAGGGTCTAATTGCTGCAGTGAAATGGTTCAACAGTATTTGCAACTGGAAGTTTCCTGTGTTGACAGTCATTATTCACATACTCGTAGCAATATTTGTCTTGTTTCCAGAGCTGATACTTCCAAGCTTTTTCCTGAATTTGTTCTTTATTGGCATTTGGAAATATAGATGGAAGCCTAGGCACCCTCCTTACATGGACACCCAACTTTCCCTTGCTGATTCTGTTCCTTGTGATGAGCTAGGTGAAGAATTCGATACTTTTCCAACTAGTGAACCTTCTCATATTGTAAAGCAGAGGTATGATCGCTTGCGAAGTGTTGCAGGGAGGATACAAATGGTGGTTGGCGATCTTGCAGTGCAAGGTGAGAGGATACAGTCTCTGTTAAGTTGGCGAGATCCTAGGGCAACTGCAGTGTTTTTGATATTTTGTCTCATTGCTGCTATTGTGCTGTATGTTATACCAATGCGTTTAGTTGCTCTGCTAACTGCGTTTTACATTTTAAGGCACCCTAGGTTACGAAAAGACGTTCCATCTGTGTTTTTTAACTTTTTTAGAAGATTACCTGCAAAGCCTGACTGTTTGTTGTAGGTGAATTGAATATGATGTGTGAGCCCAATTTTGTTTTTTTTTTTCTTTTTTTGGCATGCTTATATTCTCAAATCATTAGTGATGCAGAGGAAGTTGAACTCGGTGGTTTTGTACTTTTTGAAATTTAAACTTTCTACAATCATAAAGTTTTACAAAGTATTAATTTTTAATCTTTAATATTTATCTATTGTATTTCCTTTTCCTTTTCATTTGCAATTTAATAATTGCAAATGAAGTATTAAGCTTCGGATTTAGTTCATTTGAACCAACTTTAATTTAGATTTCGTTTGGGATGATTTTCTTACGGCTTCTTAAAACTAACTTTTAGTTAACAAATTTTAATTTAAGTACTATTAAATGAATTGATAACTACTTTTTCCTTGCTATTAAATTCATGGAACTCTCTCCTTTGAACAACAGTAATGTTTGTATGAAGATCTTGAAGCACTTGAATCAAAATTCTCCATTTTGTTATCATAGAGCCTTTGAATCAGGCTCTAATCAGCAAATTTCACTTTACTGGCTTATCTTAATCATGGTTGCTATTGGTAAATATTTGACTTACATTGAAAGGTGTTCACTTTTATTGCAAATGTTAAAGAAGACACAATCGATAATAATTTTTGAGATTTTCTGAGATTTCTTCCTGCTTATTTGGATAGAAGCTTTTACAACATTATTGCCTTACATTAACATCCATGTATATGCCTGTTTTGCTCCTCCCGGTAGGCATGATTGGAAACCTAAAGGAATGCAAAAGCTAGAATCGTGTAGCTAATGCTAACACATTTTTATTGAAAAGATTTGATGAATGTTATAAATGTTATATTGTCTTATTTAAGCATTTTTTTTAATATTTATATGTATGTAGGAAGAATTCTAATATCAATGGCGGCATTCTCCTAAAAATTTTTTATTCAAAAAGTTTATTAAAACTTCACATCAATTTTGCATCTGAACAATGTTTGATGGAATGATTGTATGTCCTCTAGATTTTTATGATGATAACAATCAAAATTTCTCAATTGATTGCTCTAAAATATATCAAGTTGAATGTGTTTGTGGTATGTTAGTGCAAATTGTGATTACAACCTCTATACTAAAATAATGTAGTATAATAGCAGAAAATTAGAAATTATATTTTGTAATGATGCATATTTGGCATGGTTTTGAAAACAATATTTCATACCTGAATGCAAGCTCCTTATCCTAACTTGATGATAATGTAACACGCAAATCCATCTACACAAATGAAAGGCAATGGTTAGTGATCAGGAACTGATACGTTACCCCACACTTTCAAAATGCAAAGACTACATGGAATGAAATAATATAAGCAAGTAATTTAAATCAATTATAATCTTGCTGAATGAATTTTATTATATGATCATTTTAGAATATTTAAAAAGTTTATTTGTTAACTAATTATTTTAAAAATTTTAGAATTTTAACCAATATTAATTTTTTGCTACTATAGCATATAGATGACAAGCCAAGAATGGAATGAGAAACCATCCCCAGTGGAGTCACCAGAAATTTATGGGCTTCAAAAATTTGCACCCCGGCCACTCTATAGCCCCTTCTTTCTCTTTTGGGTTGTTGAGGAATTTTTTAATGTTTAAGTTCTAAGGCAAATTTTAAAAGGCACTTTAGGTTTTGAATAAAATTTTACCTAGATATTTCACTCTCATTTTGCGAGGACTTAAGAATCTGAGTTTAAGTTTTCTATAAGCGCGATCCCCAATAGTTAATTACCCCTCCAAATAAAAAGAGAGAACTTTCAATTAAGATTATTCATCAGATGAATATATAGTACCTGATGTATAATAGTAGCAGAATTTTGGAATTTAAAATTTAATATTTAAAATTAGAAATTTACCACATGGCACTTAAAGCAGAGTGGGGAAAATGATGATAGTCTCAATCAAGATCCCATGATTCTGTCATCCTAGGTCATCATGATCCTTGGTCTATTTAGTTAGAGGAGGTAGTCGACCCAATGTAATAAAAGGATCCATGTCGGCAACCTTGTAGACATGTGATGAATATTATCTAAAGGGATAAATTTGAATTCACCTTAGATAATAGAAGGCTTTATGCCCAATCGTTCATGTCCTATTGATTCATTGTTCAAGATTTTAACACCATTGGGGAACACACGGGCTCTGACCATACCTATAATTTAATTGTGCCATTTGGCGATAAAACTGTCATATTAAAGTGTCTCAGTCATAACCGTTTATCTATGGTTCTATTTGGTGGCAAAACCACTAGTTATAGGACATGTGTCATGTCTTTACTAGTACGAGACAGTGTGATAATGAATCATAGTGATATTCTTGACTAAACATTTACCCTTTGTGAGCAAAAGTAATTTTTCAAATTTTTCCACCTTAGCAAACTATTATGGAATTTGGATGAGTATTTTTTCTTTAAGTATTTGATGATTTTATTTCCATTGTAAATATCAACATCATTGAGTATATTTTATAGGAATTGGGAGGCATTTTCAGATATTTGGGATCCCCTTCGATTGAGATTTTCTATAAATATGATCATCATCGGGGTTACTTATGGGTAATTTCATTTTATTAGTTGAATCTTATTGACTCTGTCAACTTATCGATAGAGGATTGGGTTAATTGTCATCTTTATGCCATTATTAGTGAATTTTTCTTATAATAGACCTTGAAGTCTGAATAAGAACGTACAAAATAAATATCCCGGTTAATGATGTGAATGTATATTTGTTTGATAGTTTGAGTCATGCTGACTCCTATCTATTATCATATAATGATTAGGCTCAAACTTAAGTTCATTTTTTTTACCAGCATAGCATCCTAAACATCATGTGTATACGTATAACACGCACATCATTGCTCATACGGGTATATGCTTTTCAATGCATTTTACATTATGCATTTGATATGTAATGCAGTGACCTATTACATTAACATATTATAATGTGTATTTTTCATGATATGTATGTATGTGAGATTTTATATTTGCATATTACTCAGTCGTACCTATATGATGTGTTTTATATTTTTCTACATATATATGCATGAAATGATTGTATGTTAATGTATCATCCTAGCATAATGCATTTTATGTATTAAATGACATGCTTACATGATATGTTTGCATGTTGTAATATGTGTGTGCATAGTGCATCTGCATATTAGTGTGATGAATTGCTACAGCATAATATATTTTGCAATGATGAATGACATGCTTAAATGATACATTCTGCCTATTACAATGCATGTGGGAGGGTATTTTAAAGTGTTTGATGCCAATCAGCAGTACAAATGATGGTCATTTGAGTGTGCACAGTGTTCTATTTAGAATCCTATAGACGCCTTCTGTCTACATATATGAATGATACCGATCTAATGACATGATGCTGCACTATAAGTTGTATGCTGCTTGTTTTAGGTGAACTATTATGCACTGATAAATCTCCTGCAGTTACTCATAGATGCTTGCATTCATCATGAGCAAATTGTTGCCTATATGAGATTAGCACATTTGCTTGACACTGAATTAGTGTTGACTATTGAAATGTCCTAGCATTTACTACTTGTTGTTCATCATCACCCATAGGTGGATTACTATGCATGTTACAAGTGCCCATACTGGGGTAGTTATATTTGCTACAAAGATTTTGTAGATATTTGTAGGCCACTATACATGGCAAGATTTTTATAGTAGTTCGTAAGAATTTGTATGTATTGTAGCTCTATTGTGTTATAGATGTTTGCATTTGTTTAAGTTCTTTTGTATTTTCTATGATCTTTGGTCCTTGCTTGTAAATAATATATTGAACATCCACATTCACAAAGGGTTCTTTATCCTTGCATTATACCTACTACTGCTTCTTACAAGCAAGCTGATTTGTTCATTTGAAGAATAATTATGATTATCAAGTGAGCTGCATTCGTCATAAACTTCTGCAAGCATGTTGATTGTCATCATTTGCAAGAGTTTGGTATGTTTTTTTACAGTAAGGAGATATTACATTCATTGTACATCAGGTTAAACTATCCACAAGATGTTATGCATTTTCTTAAGAACTCAATTGATATTGGTTGCAGGGATGTCACCTTATTTGTCGCATATCCTCTTGAGTGTGGCCGCAGTGAACTTATCACATTTACAATTTGTTCACTGTCACTTCCTGCAAGTGAACTAGTGTATTTATTTGCAAGTTAGTTGACTATAGTGTGTAGGGGAACTACGACAGCAGGTTAATACATTTGTGACATTAATTAAATGTAAGCCACATTCATTTTAAACTCCTAAAATGTACTTTGGATAATAACTCATAACGATTTATACCATACCAATCCTCTTTGCTTGTAGGAGTTTAATGTACTTGTTTGCAATTGATTATCATTAACCACACAAAAGATACATTCATCTCAAATTTTTTAAATGCACATTGGTTGGCAATTCATTGCACGTAAATTATCATTTATTGCAGGGTTTAATGTATTTACTTTTATTGCTTGTTGAAGTCTACTTGCAATTGTTTAAATGCTCCAAGATAATTAAAATTCATCACCTTTCATCCATGTGCATTGAGGGTCTATTCACCACAAGTCCCCTACTTGCATATTTGCATTTTAATCTTATCGTTTCATTTTGTATTTTTTATGTCAAATATTAGGTCATGTTCCGTGTTTAGTGTTTTAAGTTATGTTACCTATAGTTTGATTTATATGTTTAGATCCCAAAATTTTGTTTAAGTTTAGGTCCTCTGTCAATTCAAATTATGGCAGCCTCCGGGCATCTCCCTATTTAGGAGAAATTTGAAGAGTTTGGCCTTCCCTCCACGCTACAAGAGCATATATGGAAGGTGTTTGGTGACAACGCGGACGTAGTTCTTCAATCCCATCATACTACATTAGCGTGTATGAATCTTTGAGGTATCTTTTTGAAAGAATAATTATTCTTGTAGGCATGAAGACACATACACAGGTACTTAGGAATCTCCC